AATAAAAGGGTTTTGTGGATTTCGTTTTTAATAAGTTCAGAGTCCGCTTTGGTTCTGAGGGTATACAAAGCATTGAGACTGTAAATCGGGTCTCTAAATTGGCAACCCGCGGCTCTGGAGATGCATGCAGCTCTTTGGGGCCCTCGGCTGTGGCTCCCTATTGGGTGATCCCACCACTGGCTGGTCCCGCCCCTCGCCCTCCTTTTCCCCATGATGCCTGGCCTGAGGAGGTAAAACACCAAAATCAGAAATGAGAGGGAGAAAGAGAATGCCATTTCCCACAGAAGGGGCGGGCAGGTGTGTGTCATGTGACTGGGTGACGAGCTGGCCACGCCTAGCTGGTTTTGTGGCTCCGGTATTTTCTGTGGGAAACGGGTCCAAATGGCTCTTCGGGTGTTGTAAGGTTGCCGACCCCTGCTCTAACCATGATTCACATCTCTGAGAAGCCATGACTGGGATCTGAGATAACCAGGAAGGAGGAAAAGCTTTCCAATAACGGAAACAGTCCTTCTTTGCAGGCTTCTGTGTGAGCCTGAAAAAAACACATGGCTGCTTTAAAGAGTTGACTCATTAAACTCGATGCAATTCTTTTTTATTTTTCCCCTAGGCCTGAAAAAAACAAAAAAAAACAGTCATTCCACCTGATTTTCTTGAAGTTCTGCATCTTTATCTCATGGGGTAAAGGTTGAAGAGAAGTATGGAATAAAATAGAATTCTTTATTGGCCAAGTGTGATTGACACACATGGAATTTGTCTTTGGTGCATAGGCTCTCAGTGTACATAAGAAAAAATAAAATATATTCATCAAGGATAACTATCATCTGCTAATATTTCATTAAATTACCATCATGTTTTCCTCTTCTGTTTAATTGCTACCTGTGGCAATTTTTATTAGGTATTAGAGTCGCTGTGCTTGTTGCTTTTTGTCTCCTAAGACCCGGAGAGATCTTGAAAGACTCGAACGCTCAGCCCCAACACAATCAAATTGAATTCAGTCGCGAGAAACATTAGCTTTGCGCTCGGGCAAGAGAAACCAACGGGACAGATTGAGAAGAGGCGGAACTGGGGCTTAACAGCAGTAATGGATAGGAGTCCAGGAGTCCGAATGGACAACCACTTAAGTATGAGTTGCTAACGGATAATTGATTTGGAAGGGACCTTAGAGGTCTTCTAGTCCAACCCCATTAGGAGGAACAATGAACCAGTGGAACGACCGGCCTCCAGAAGTTATGCGTGCTCCATCACTGGATGCTTTTAAGAAGAGATTGGACAGGCATTGTCCAGAATCGTATAGGGTCTCTTTCTTTAGCAGGTGGTTAGACCTGCCAACCCTGTTATTCTGTACTTTGGTGTGTGTGTGTGTGTGTGTCCGTCCGTGTGTGTGTCCACTAATCACCAGTGTCTGAATTGTTACCATCCTGGATCTAACATATCCTTAAGGGGACACAAGCAAAAACGTAATTAGCTGCACCCTAAGTCTTTTGAAGGGATGCCGTGGCTCAGCGGCTAAGACATTGAACTTGACGATCAGAAAAGTTCGGCAGTTCGAATCCCCAGCGCCGCATCACTGAGTGAGCTCCCCGTTCCTTGTCCCAGCAGCTTCTGCCAACCTAGCGGTTCAAAAGCGTGTAAAAAATGCAAGTAGAAAAATAGGGGCCCTATTGGTGGGAAGGGAACAGCGTTCCTCCGTGCGCCCTCGAAGTCCTTGAGTCCTGCCGGCCACATGACCACGGAGACATCCTCGGACAGCGCTGGCTCTTCTTCGGCTTTGTAACGGAGATCACCAGCGCCCCCTAGAGCCGGGAATGACTAACACGGATGTGCAAGGAGGGGAACCTTTACCCTTTACCTTTAAGTCTTTTGTGTTAGATTCCAAAGGTTTTCGAACATTTGCACCTAGCGTCCAGGGTTATCCGAGCACACCCTGTCCCCGGAAGTTGGGGTGGGTGCGTGGTTAGAACTGTCAACTTGGAAAGAGTTGCAAAGCTCATGTCCTTCGGGCTGGTGGTTTCAAAGAGTCTAGCCAAGTGGGAGAGGACTGATAACGGCAACGGAGCAGCTCTGTCTGAACTGATATGAACTTCGACTGTTTGGGGGAAACACTCTTGGCTCGGATGCAACAATAGGAAGCTTCGGTAGTAAGCATAAACGTGCCCTTGCGCACCAGTGCTTTCTGTGCAAGCTTTCTGTGCAAAACAACCTATAATAAGTTCTGCAAGTCAAGGACTTCAAAAAGAATCTATCCAAACCTCCAATTGTTGTAATTAATTTTATCTCTTTCTCTCTCTGTCTCTGTCTCTTTCCTTGTCTCTCCTTCTTTCTGTCCCTCTCTCTCTCTCTCTGTCTTTCCCTGTGTAAATCCCAAAAGAAGCCCCATCCTATCCCAAGCACTTAGGGCTTCCTGCCTAAGCAGCGGGGTGGACTAGAAGACCTCCAAGGTATCTTCCAACTCTGTCATTCTATATATTACACTTTTGCCGGTATCAAAACACCAAAGATGCTACACGGTCGAGAGGCATTTTGCCCATGTGACGTGATATCGTTCGGGGTTTGTTTTCAACGCAGGAACTCTTTTTATCAAGATGGTGTAGAAAGTAAAGTTTTAAATCAAGAACATGTTCTGGCCAATTACAAGGCTAAGAAAGTCCATGTCAAAAGCCAACAGCAAAAGGGTGAGGAGAAGAAGAATCTTGAGCTTCAAGCTCAGATCTGCTGCACAGAAAACAGCTCCTCACCGAAGCAGAAGCGGATTATTATGACACTGAGTGAACTTGAAATTGGCCTAGCGGTTAAGGTGACCAGACTAGAAAGCGGGAGCTTGGGAATTCTAGTTCTGCCTTTGGGCCAGCCCAAGCACCTTGCCGGGCGGTTATTGTGGGGAAAATAGGAGGAAGGAAGGTGCGTTGGTTATTGGCACCGCCTCGAGTTACTTGTAAAAAAAAATAATAAAGGCACGGCACAAAGAAACAAAATAAAAATAAATAACAAAACTTTCGGGAACTTGAAATTATGATCATGAAATTGAGTGAAACAACAGTACTAGAGAATTCCAGGTTTCCTGAATTTTATTATCCATCCTTTTCTCCCTCCCTCTCTCCCTCTCTCCCCCCCCCCCACCCAAGAGTAGGAAGGGAATTACTAGGAAAAAATGCAGGATTTTGTACTTTAAACCACTCCGCTTTGCTGTTGCTAATCACATTTCCTGTTTGCTTTATGATAAATAAAAGTTCATCAGCTTCCTTCACGGTGTACCTGCCCCAAAGCAGGAAGTAAACATGAATTCCCAATGAATTCTAGACAAAACATTTCTCTGCGTTTCATTTTGGTTCGATTGAACGTTTAACTCTCGCCCAGAACAGATTTTATTTTAATATTCTGTTCCCATGGTTTTGATTGTTCCAGGCTTTCCCAGCGACCTTTTTCTATTATCTTTATTTCTTCTTTTTGTTTAAAAGAACAGCAGCTTCGTGATGCTGAAGGATATTCTATTTATTCATACCAAGAGGAACCAACCAACCGAGTCTTGTCTGTCAGGTGCCGAAAATACATCCGATGCAGGACAAGTAAGTAATTGAACAGGATGTCAACACGTAACTAATCTTGGCTGTTTTCCCAGGAGATGCCTGCAATTTTATCTGCTCAATTGCAACCAAATCATCTCATTTTAAGTCAACTTACAGGGTTTGGACATTTGTAGAATTCTTCGAATTCCTGGGATCCTGACAAATGTCCCAAAAAAAGAAGTGCACCTGTGCTTAGCTCGTTCTTGGGCAGGTAATAGTTTCTGGGGCTTTTTTTGTGGGGGGGGGGAGAGGGGTGCTCCATCCGTGGAGGTTTTCAAGAAGCGACTGGACAACCATTTGTCCAGAATGGTATGGATGACCCTCAACTTACAACCGTTTCTTTAGGGACCAATTGGTCTTCCAGTGGGGCCCCCATCACCATAACTGAGTCCATTGAGCCTGTTGCTGGATGTCTCCTTCCTTCTTTTTTCTTCATCCACCTTTCCTTTCCTTCCTTCCTTCTTCCCATCCTTCTCTTTTCTTCATCCTCCTTTCCTTTCCTTCTTTCCTTCCTTCTTCCCATCCTTCCTTCTCTTGAGGTTATAAACATATTCAGTAATACTAATACGAATATCTTTATGAAAAAAAAACACTTCTAAGAACCTTCCTTCCCCCCCCCCAATCTATACCTTCTCCTCCCTCCCTTCCTTCCCTTCCCTAATTCACACCAAAAATATTTTCCATATCCCCTTTCTCCATCCTCCTTTCCTTTCCTTCCTTCCTCCCTCCCTCCCTCCTTCCCTCCCTTCCAACAGGGCCTTCTCCAGAACCCCAGACCTTTTGCCTCCATCGACCCCACTGATGAGGTCCCACCTTCAACCACCCAACTTCTCCAGGGGATCACTTGTCCCTCCCAGGGCTGCTGCTCCTCTTCCAAGAGACCCCCCCCCCGGGAACCCCCCCCCCCCGGGGGGGCCCGGGGGGGGGGGGCAAAACCCCCCCCCCCCCCCCCCCCCGGCCGCCCCCCCCCCCCCCGAGGCTGGTGCCAAATTGCATGGCTGGGAGAGGAGAGAGGAGGGAAGAGGAGAGAGGAGGGGGGAAGAGGAGGGGAGGGGGGAGCAGAGGGGAGAGGAGGGGGAGAGAGGAGGGGAGGGGAAGGGGAAAAGAGGAGGGGGCGTCCGTGCATGCAACCCCCCCCTCCTGCCCGGGGTTTGCAAAGCGGGCGAGCCGCCCTGGCCGAGCCTCCCTCCCTCCGCGCCAACGGCCGCCGCCGCCTCCGGCTGTTCCATTCCAACCGCTCCCCCCCCCCCCCCCCCCCCCGCCGCAGTTTCCCAAAGTTTTTTTTTTTTTCCTCTTGCGCATTCGGGGCCTCATTTGCCTCCGCCCGCCCCCCGCGCCCCGCCATTGGCCGCCGGCGCCCGAGCCCGCGCGGGGACTGGGGAGGAGGCGCTGTCGCTCAAACGCCCGCCGCCCTCAGCGCTCGCCGTCAGCCTGAAAGCCTCGCCGCCGCCGCTGCCGCCGCCGCCGCCGCCGCCGCTTCTCGCCCAGCCCCGGAGAGCAGCCCCGGCGGTCCGCGGCGGCGGGGGCGGGGAGCCGCGGAGACTCCGTCCTTCCTTCCCGGGAGGGGGCCGCGCAGGTGGAGGGCGGGCAGGGGGCTCCCCTGGCCCGGCCGCCCCTCCCACCCTCACTCCGGCAGGTGAGGCAGCCAGGCGCGCGCCTCCCCCCTCCCTCCTGGGCCGCGCTTGACTGACAGGTGGGGAGGGTCCAATCCTCGCTCGAGACCCGGACCCGCCCCTCCTCTGAACCCCCCTCGCCGTTGCTGTCCCCCCCACCCTCGTCCTTGTCTGCGCGCAGCCTTTTGCAGGCGTGTCGTTGGTGCAGGTCTGTCTCTGCTCGCGCCCCCCCCCGCCCCTCACTCACCCACCCACCCCGAGGTGGGTCTGGCTTCTCTCCAGCATCCCTGGGGGGGGCAGGAAAGGGTCGCCGTGCCCTGGGGGAGGGCCGCCCCCCCCGTTGTATTTCAACCCCCCCCTTCCCGGGTGATTGAAGAGTGGCTTCTGAGTGGGGGGGTATGTGTGGGGAGGGCGGGGGGAGGGTCACTGGTGGGCTAGGGGGTCTTCTGGTTGGGTTGAGTTGGGTTGGGTTCAGTTCAGTTGGGTTGCATTGGGTTGAGTTGGGTTAGGTTGGGTTGGGTTGGGTTGGGTTGGCCACCCATCTCATTCAAGAGTTTCTGGATGGCTGACACCCAGAATGGTCTTCCTTCCTTCCTTCCTTCCTTCCTTCCTTCCTTCCTTCCTTCCCTCCCCCTCCCTTCCTTCCTTCCTTCCTTCCTTCCCTTCCCTTCCCTTCCCTTCCCTTCCTTCCTTATAATTCTTATGATGGTTGAATCAATCAATCAGAATAGGGCTAAAAGGGACCTCATAGATCATTTAGTCCAACCCTCCTGCTCAAGCAGGCAACCTGACACCCAACATATGTATGTTTGTATGTAAGTATATATGTTCTCCACCTGTGGCCTGCAGACCCCTGGGGACGGCCGTAATGTCATCACACAGGGTTCCTCAAGGGCTTGACGTGGGATGATTTCAATCTTGAGTCAAGGCTTGGTGGTCCATGGCCACAAGAGGTATTTATTTAAAGGGGGTCTGTGGTGAAGAAGAGCTTCAGAACCGCTGCTAGATTCTATTCCTCCTCCTTTTTGTATGGTGTCCTTAATATTATTTATGTTGTGTTGTGTTAATATTATTTCATTCATGTTATTAATATTATGGGTGTTGCCTCCGTCCAAGGCACTAGGCGGTTGGATCCTGAGCTCTTGGGGAGCATTTCAGGGTGTCAAGGTCAGGTGTGGCCTTTCTGTGCAGGGCTGGGAGTTTTGATGATTGTGATTTTTTGTTGTTGTTAACTGTGATGCAAATAGCTACCCATTTTCCCCCAGTGAACTCTGGCCTGGTTCACTGGGACTCTCCACTTCTGCCTGGACCTGTGTAATATTTGCAAGGCCAGACGTCGTAGATTTCGGTTTAAAGTTTGGGTGGGCAAGGCCTCTCCATCACTCCCTTGGCTTGGTGGGCTTCTGTCGAGAGTGGAATTGCTGTTTGCTTTGGTTGGTCACCCCTGTCATCCAAATGACTCTGGTTGGCTCTGAATAGCCATAAATATTATTGTATGTTCTAATTCTTCCTCCTCCTCCTCTATCATCCTCTTTCTTATTCTTCCTCCTCTATCATTCTCTATCATCTCCTTCTTCCCCTTCTCCTCCTCCCCTCCTCCTTTTTCTCCTTCTATTATTATTTTTATATTATTGTTGTTGTTATTATTATAATGCCTGTGTTTGCTTTTGTTGCACCTGTCTATGCAGTCAGATCATAGAGACCAGCCCTCTGTGGTTTTACTTCTAACCCCCAACTTATAACAATTCATTTAGTGACTGTTGAAAGTTACGACACTGAAAATGTGACTTACGGCCATTACCGCTTCCACCGTGGTCACATGATCAGAATTTGGATGCTGGACAAGTAATTCATATTTATGACGGTCTCAGCATCGTTCCCCCCTCCACCCCACCCCACCCCCCTAGTCACATGATTTGGCAATCTTCTTGACAAGCACTGTCAACGGGGAAGCCAGATTCCCTTAACAACCTTGTGACTCACTTAATGTCTGCAGTGCTCCCCCTAACCTCTGTGGCAAGCAAGGTCGGAAGATGGGAACAAAACTCACTCAACCCGTGTCCTCCCTTAGCCACGGAAATGTGCTCAGTTGTGGTCGTAAGTCAAGGAATAGCTCTATTGCAGGAGTCTTCAAACTTGACAGCTTTAAAGATTTGAGGACTTCAACTCCCACGTTCCCTGCCTTGAGACCTTTGTAAGAATAATAAGGGCAGAATAGGTTACAGGTAAACAGATTAGATCAGAATACATCAAATTGTCAGCCACGCCTCATTTATCTGTCCATCCCAATGAGCTTCCTGTGAATTTTATAGCTAAAATAGTTTCCCTACACTTCCTCAGTGAGATTCCAAAAGTGACAAAAATCTGTTTTTTTTTTCCAAATCGAAAGAGTGGGAGGCCTATATATTTTTTCTTAATGTATTCTGGGCACCTCATTCCCTGTTCTCCCTGAATCTACCTGTATGTGGTAACAAGTCATCTGTTTGTGTGATATTGGATTTAAGTCCATGGCCTATATCTGTTTCTTTTTTTTTAAAAAAAATTGTCCCCATCTGTTGATTGGTTTGGTGCCTTGAGAAATCGTGGGCCCTTCCTCACTGGAGGTTTTCAAGAAGAGACTAGGCAGTCACCTACCTGAGGTTCTCATTCTTGAGCATAGGGCTGGACTAGAAGACCTCTAAGGTCCCTTCCAGTTTCATTTCTATCCTATCCTATCCTATTCTTCATTTATTCTATTCTATTCTTCATCCATTCCATTCTGTTCTTCCCTTCCCTTCCCTTCTATTTTCTGTTCTATTCTATTCTATTTTTTATTCTATTCTATTCTACTCCTGTTCTATTCTCATTTGTGTCAAAATAGCTAAGGAGTGCATTTCATATTTGGCTCAATTCTAGAGAGAGTTCTCCTAGGACTGTAAAAAAAAATAATTTCACCTTTGACAGGTGGAGCCTTATTGTTCATTTCAGCTGATTAATAAGTTATACATCCCATATTATACAGTGCAACAAACCTGGATTAAAGATTAATAGGAATGGAAACGACATGAAAATACAATAAGGTTCAGTTATATAAAAATACAGTACAGCATGAAACTGCATGGCTGGGTCCTTGGTACTGTGCTGAGCTTGGTGAGTTTTCTTGCAGACGTTTCATTACCCAACTGGGTAGTACCATCAGTGCTAGAAGGTAGTGGGTTTTGTGGCATGGAAGAAGAGGAGGACTGTGGGGTCCTTGGTGCTCTCTGATCTTGGTGGTTTTCTTACAGACATTTCATTACCAGACTAGTAACATCATCAGTGCAAGCCATGGCAGTAAATAATGTTCTAATAAATTCATGTTCTAATTTATTTCTCTTTATATAAATATATATATATAAATTTCCCTGAAGTAGACCGATGAAAGGGAATAATAAGTATGTTTGGTGTTATTGACCCAAGGAAAACCACATTATTCATGTATTTATTTATTTTTTTGTATTTTCATGGCCATTCAACGAGCATTGAGTCAGCTTTTCATCTGTTTTATTTCCAGGATGCATGAATTTACATTTTCTTATTTGGTTTCTAACATGAGTCAGCAGAATGTGGTGGAATTGTTATTTCTACCAAATGTTTGCCATGCTGACTGATACGTTAACTTTGTGTCATTCCCGTGAGTAATAGTAATACTATGTTTCACCTATTGTTGGCAAAAAGTATGGGAACAACATAGAGACAAACTTACAAAGGAAAACAACAAAACAAAACACACACACACACACACACACACACACATATACACAGAGGGTATTTGTTAGGGGGACTGACAGCCTCTTAAAGTGTTGGCTTGACTGCTTTGCTTAGACAATATGAGATCATTGCTGTTGTACTCATATTTTATGGCCTTTTCAAGAGTCAGAGAGGTCCAGGTGGATTAAGAGGAGCCTTTCGAAACCGTAGAAATGTAACTGCTTCCATTTGCACTGTTATTCTGCGATTCGTTTTGTACACCTAGGCCGTCCCAGACTTACAACCATTCTTTAGAGACAACAACGGCACTGGGGGAAAAAATGAGCCATTCCTCCCGCTTACGACCATCGTAGCATCCCATGGTCAAATGACCAAAGTTTGGTCACTTGGCAAAACCGTCATGGATCTGTGATGCTTCCCATCCGGCTTTCGGCAGACAAAGTCAATGCAGGAAGCTGGATTCGCTCAACAGCCCCGTTACTCGCTTAAGAACCACAGTGATTCACTTAACGGCCGTGGCAAAAGGGCCGTAACATTGGGCCCCCCCGACTCACTTAACAATTGCTTTGTTTAACCCCGGGAGTTCTGGTCCCCCTCAGTTTGTTTCAGTCGGGGAACCTTTCGATGTGTTTCCTTAAGGCAACAGAAAGAATTCAGATTTTATTGAGTGGTTGCAATGGTATTTTGCAACGGCTGGAATTTAACCCTATTGGCTTCCATTTGTGTGTGTCTGTGTGTGTGTCTATTGATTGCACGTTTGAAAAGAAGACGTTGTGGTAGGCCTTTAATTGTGCTCGTGCTTAAAGAGACCAGTCAGATGAAATTTTAATGGGAGGTGCAGTTTCCAGCTTGCCAGAATTGGCACTCAAAACATCTTGAATTCAATGCACCCATATATCTATATATATATACTGTAAAGAGCCTTGGAATGAGCTTTGGGATAAACCATTTATAAATTGTTTAAAAAGCAATGGGAGGCAGGGTGTTGATAGCCCATTTAGTTCCTGTGCTTGTGGACAAGAAAAGCTGCCTAAGTATAGTTTGGGAAGGAGCATTTAATTTAAGGTTTTGTCAAATCGCGTGGTTTTAAGGTTGAACGCCTTGCAGTCTGCAGGCGACGGACACCACATTTGGTAGGATCATTAGGAATTTGTATATATTATTTGCGGTGCCCAAAATAGCATCAGTAGGAGGTGCACTGCAGAGCTTCAAATAATCACAGCTAGCATTTTGAAATGTGTGTATGCGTGAATCGATTGAAGATTTATGTGGTCTCCTGGAGTCTCCTAAGATG